AGCTGTGAACATGACCTTGTTTGAAAGAAGGGTCTCTTGAGATCTTATCATTTAGGTTAACAAGAGGTCATACCAAAGTAGGGTGAGTCCTAATCTCATTTAAGTGATGTCTTATCAAAGAGAGACTGGACACAGAGACACACAGGGGTAGACACCGTGTGCAGATACATCTGTAAGCCAAGGAATGTCCAGGAGCCTTCAGAAGCTGGGAGAGACGTGGGGCAGCTCCTCTCTCTGAGTCTCTGAAGGAGTCAACATGACTGACATCCTGATTTGAACTTTTAGCCTCCAGAACTGTATCACAATACATTTCTTTTCATATAAACCACCTGGTTTGTGATATTTTGTTATGGCAGTCCTAGGAAACTAAGACATGGGCCTAGCATTTAATAGCTGAGAAAATTGAGTCAAATTATTATACCTCCCAGAACCTCACTTTCCTCATCTGCAAAATGGGAACAAACAGGAGTGGTAGTCAAAATACTGGATAACTGGTGATATATGGGCACTGACCAATAAGAATGGATATTGTCTGGTCTTAGAGCCAGAGAACAGTCCTGGAAGTCCCCACTGTGCCAGGCATTAACCCTGTAGTTGCTGGATTATGAGGAAGCCTGCGGAGTGGGCGGCAGGGAGGAGGGGACTGAGAGAGCAATCATAGTGATAGGGGGCTCAGTCAGAGACTGTTTACCAAAGTGTTTCTGGGTTTTAACATCCAGTACAGCTGTACTGGGAGTACTAGTTGTAAGTCTGACCTGAGGACAAATCCATACCTCACTGGCTACTACTGTATACATGTTCACTTCTTTCACGCCTGAACTTGAAGTCTCTTCTCCCCTTGATTCCTCCTCATTGATGGAGGAGCTGTCTCCACATTCTAACTGTTCATTTCCTTCTAGTCTGAGCAGTCTTCCTTCTTTGCGTTGGCTCTTCCAGCTGTCCTTCCTACACCAGCTCCGGCAGGCTTCCCCACTCCCAGCCTCTGTGGCCAGCACCATGGACAGCTCCCACTGACCAGCCCATCCTGGGCTAACCCCCTGGCTCCTGCCTTCTGTATCCTCTTTCCCCCTCCACTCAGCTCAGAAATACGAACCGAATGAGGGTGTTATTCATTGAACAGTGTGCCCAAAAAAACGTGTGCTATAAATCCTCCTATGCCTGTGGCCATAATCCCATTTGGGAATAGGGTTTTTCTTTGTTAGGTTAACGAGGTGATATTAGTGTCAGGTGTGTGTTAAATCAATCTCTTGAGATATAAAAGAGCAGATTAAGCAAGCAGGGGGAAAAAAAAAACAGAGATGGTAGAAGATAGATGAGACCTCCAAGGAACCAAGAAACAGAAGTTGGAAAGAGACCAGGACGTCCCCCAGAGCCAACACGGAAAGTATTTCCCTAGAGCCGACACCCTGAGTTATGGCTTCTGGCTCCCTAACCAGTGAGGAAATACCTTCCTGTTTGTTGAAGCCATCCACTTCTAGTATTTCTGTTATAGCAGTACCAGATAACAAAGACAGAGGAGCCTCCCTGAAAAGGCAGTACAGTGGAGTGGTTAAGAAAGACTGTGCAGTCAAGCAGACTGGGATTAAATCCCAACCCACCAGCTCCTAGCTGTCTGATCTTGTTCCTTTACTTCTGTAAGACCCAGTCTCCCCCATCTGTACATAGGGAACACTTAACAGCTATCCCAAAGATTGTGAGGTTTAAGTGAGATTGTTGTTGTTAGATGCCGTCGAGTAGGCTCTGACTCATAGTGACCCTGTGTACAACAGAACAAAACACTGCCCAGTCCCGTGCCAGCCTCCACAATCCTTGCTATACCTGAGCCTATCGTTGCAGCCGCTGTGTCAATCTTAAGTGAGATAGCAAGTATAAAGAACTTAGCACAGTGTGGCTCACTATATGTTCTGAATAAATGAAACACATCACTATTCGGGAACTTTCCATTCCATTTTAATTCCTCAAACCCTTTTCTGATTGATTTCCTTTTCAGACCAAGGCTCACTCTCAAGTAAACATGTCAAAACATAACCACCAGCTCAGTGCAGCTGGCCTCTTTTGGGTGTGGAAGTCAGCTTGAACTTCAGATGTGGTGAAGAAACCCACCTTTGACTGACCCATGCAGTCTGTGTTTATTAGATTTGTTTGTACTTTAAAATTTGTGAGTTAATTTTAGATGTACAAAAGTTACAAAAATAATAGAGGCTTTTTATATACCTCTCATCTAGCTCTCCTTTACATTAATATCTTAATGACCATAGAACATTTATCAAAACTAAGAAGTTAACCTTGGTTCAACACTGTTAACAAAAGTAGAGGACTTATTTAGATTTCACAAAATTATTCACTAATGTTCATTATTTGTCCCAGGACCCGATCCAGGGTCCCATATTGCATTTAGTTGTCATATCTCTGTACTCTCCTCCACTCTGGGGTAGTCCCTGAGTCTTTGCTTGTAGTTCATGACTTTTGAAGAGTTGGTTTCATGTCATAGCAAATCTAGGGGACAAAGTAGAACTGCTTATAGGGTTTCTAAGGCTGTAAATCTTTATAGGAGCAGACTGCCACCTCTCTCTCCCATAGAGCAGCTGGTAGGTTTGAATTACCAAACTTTCAGTCAGCAGCCAAGTGTCCAACCACTGCGCCATCAGGGCTGGCCAGTTCTTTTGAAGAAATAAATCAGTCTGGGTTTTGTATCTTTTTTGTACATGGCTTCTCATGGTTATAGTGAGGTTTGTATTATCAGGAAGGAGACCACAGAGGTGATGTACCCTCCTCAGGGCATTATATCAGGGGTGATGATGATGATGATGATAGCTGTCATTGAGTCAACTCCTAGTCATGGTGACTTTATGCACAACAAAACCAATTGTTGCTTCATCATCTTCACCATCGCTGGCAGGTTTAAGGCCATCATTGTAGTTACTGTGCCAATTCATCTCACCAAGTGTCTCTTTCACCCTTGCTGGTTTTCTGTGTCACCAAATATGATGTCCTCCTCCAGAGACTGATCCCTCCTGATGACATGTTTAAAGCCAGTGATGTTGGCAATGTTCTGCTGTGATCCTTAAGGTCTTCATTGGTTAATTTCAGAAGGAGTAACCAGGTATTTCTTCCTAGCCTTTCTTAGTCTAGAAGCTCTGCTAGTACTTATGCACCACAGGTGGTCCTGCTGCATTTGAAATACCAGTGGCATAGCGTTCAACATCAAACCACCACAGTACAAAGACTGACAGCTGGGTGATGGATATCAGGGGGTACATGATATCAGTATGCATTACTGGTAATGTTAATCTTGGTCATTTGGTTAAGGTGGTGTCTGCCAGATTTTCCCACTGTAAACTTACTATTTTCCTTTCTTTATTAGATTTTGAGCAGGCTTAGATTTTGCTTCTCTGGAATAAAGAGTTCTAAACCAGGAAACCTGTCCTCCCACTAACCTCTTCACCACCACACTCCAGACCACTCCCCCAAGCCACACCCGATCTCTGTTCTCTGCTTGGTTACTTTCTCACTTGGTGCTCAGAGGTGAGTACGTGCAGAAACCAGATACAAATGCACCTGGAGATTATTAGAGCAATAATGTGCTTTCTGTTTCTTTTTCCTAGAACTTTTATCCAGATCCTGCTAGTCCTGCTTGTGAGGGCATCATGACAAAATATTGCCAGGTACTATCTACAGGAATGCCCAGGTCTAGTCCCAAACTCTGAGCACTTTCTTCAACATTTAGCATTTGGGGTTTTTAGATCTCTGGTAGCATTTCTTTTGACTCAGCCATTTATAACTCCTTGCTGACCACTAGCTCAGATCCATGAGATTCCTTCCTTCCAGAACCACTGCAAAGTTCTTCACTCCTGTAAGAGTTTGGTATCATCAAAGATCCTGCTACCAGGGTTATTCAAAATATTGAATAACATTTTTTCCACTGATTGAGTGTGGTGATATATGCTCACCCAACCTTCCCCTTTGTTTCCTCATCAGCTGTACCTAGGAGTTGCTGTCAAGTCGACTCTGACTAGTGGTAACCCCACGTGTGTTGGAACAGAACTGAGGTCCACAGGATTTCCAAGGGCTGGTTTTTCAGAAGGAGATCTCCAGGTCTTACTTCTAGGTGGACTTGAACCTCTAAACTTTTGGTTAGTAGCTGAGCATGTTAACCATTTGTACCACCCAGGGACTCCCGACTGCCAGCTGCCCCAAGATTCTTCCATTTCAGTGCGTCTTCTCATGCTTACCCCTTTAGAAGACGAGGAGACATCACACCTTCTTCAGCCTCATGCACAGAATTCCAATGTTCAAAGCATTGGGTGCAAACTTGTGTGAATTGCCTCTGGATAGTCTCAGAAGATGCCCTCATGAGTCCCCATTACCTCTTTGTCCTTTGTTCTGATAACTATTGCTGTGTAAGAATTATTCCAAGCAACCATCTTATTTTGCAGGTCAGGAATTCAGGAAGGGCTTGGCTAGGCAGTTCCTGCTTGAGGTCTCTCATGCAGTTGCAGACAGATGTTGCCGGGGCTGCAGCCATCTGAAGGCTCGATTGGGCTGGAGTCCAAGAAGGTACACTCACGTGGCAGGCTGTTGGCTGGGAGCCCAGCTAGGGAGTCAAGTGGAACATGCCTCTCCAGCATGGCAGTCTCAGGGTAGTCAGCTTCCACCCAAGAGAGCCAGGCAGAAGTTGCATGGCTTTTTCTGCTGTAACCTCAGACCAGACTCAAGGGGAGGGGACAAGACCTTGCCTCTTCTCTGGTGTCAAAGAATGCATGGATATATTTTAACAACTCTCTCTCTCTCTCTCTTACACACACACACACACACACACACACACACACTTGCACACCTGGGTCCCCTCACTGCACCTCGGACATTATTCTACTGGGACTACCTCCTCAGGGAGAGTCCTAGCCACCTGCAGGCCCATCAGATCTTTTAGGTTGAAGCTGGGAGTGCCCTTCTCCCATTCCCTTGAGATAGTGACTCATCAGTTCCCATCTCCCTCCTACCGCTGCTGCAGGGGACATGGCTTCTGGTCCATGGCTTCTGCTTCCTTGGGACCTTGGGAAAGTGACTTCACCTCTATGGGCCTCATGTTCTTAATCTGCAAAGTGGGCTATTATTATTTTAAAAGATAATGTAAATAGCACACCTAGCACACTTGGTCCATACATAGTGGTGTTGTTAGATGCCATCCAGTTCACTTTGACTCATAGAGACCCTATGTACAACAAAACACAACACTGCTCATTCCTGCGCTATCTTCCTAATTGTTGAGGCCCATTGCTTGAGCTCATTGTTGCAATCACTGTGTCAATTTCATTAAGGGTCTTCCTCTTTTTCAGTGACTTTACCAAACATGATATCCTTTTCCAGAGACTGAGCCCTCCTGATAACATGTCCAAAATATTTGAGACAAAGTCTTGTCATGCTTACTTCTAAGGAACATTCTGGTCGTACTTCTTCCGAGACAGATTTGGCCATTCTTTTGGCAGTCTGTGATATATTCGATATTTTTGCCAAAACCATAATTCAAAGACTAATTCTTCTTTAGTCTCCCTTATTTTTTGTCCATCTTTCACATGCATTGGGGCAATTGAAAGTACCATGGCATGGATCAGGGCTACCTTATTCCTAAAAGTAACATCTTTGCTTTTTAACTGTTTAAAGAGGTCTTTTGCAGCAGATTTGTCCAATGCGATATGTCATTTACTTTCTTCCATGGGTGTTGATTGTGGATCCAGATAAAATGAAATCATTGACAACTTCAGTTTTTTCCATTTATCATGATGTTGCTTATTGGTCCAGTGGTGAGGATTTTGGTTTTCTTTATGTTGAGGTGTAATCCACACTGAAAGCAGTAGTCTTGATCTTTATCAGTAACAACTTTAAGTCCTCTTCACTTTCAGTAAGCAAGATTGTGTCATCTGCATATTGCAGGTTGTCAAAAAGTCTTCCTGCAATCCTGATGCTGCGTTCTTCTTCCTATAGTCTAGATTCTTGGATTATTTGCTCAGCATACAGATTGGATAAATATGGTAAAATGATACAACCCTGACATACACCTTTTCTGATTTTAAACCATGCAACATCCCCTTGTTGTGTTTGAACCACTGTCTCTTGGCATATGTATCAAGTTCTGCATGAGCACAGTGAGTTCTGAAATTCCCATTCTTTGCAATGTTATCTGTAATTTGCTGTGATCCACACAGTTGAATTCCTTTGCGCAGCCAATAAAGCACAGATAAACACCTTTCCAGTGTTCTCTACTTTCAGTCAGATTCATCTGATATCAGCAATGATATATTTTATTCCATGTCCTCTTCTGAATCTTGAATTTCTAGCAGTTTCTTGTCCATGTACTGCTACAACTGTTTTTAAATTATCTTCAGCAAAATTTCACTGGCATGTGATAATGATGACATTGTTCAATAATTTCTGCATTCTGTTGGATCACCTTTCTTTGGAATGGGCATGTATATGGATTTCCTCTAGTCAGTTGGCCAGGAAGCCATCTTCCAAATTTCTTGGCATAGACCAATAAGCAGTTCCAGTGTTGCGTCTGTTTATTGAAACATCTCAATTGGTATTCCCTAAATACCAGAACCTTGCTTTTTGCCGCTGCAGCTTGGACTTCTTCATTCAATACTGTTGGTTCTTGGTCATATGCTACTTCCTGAAATGGATGAACGTTGACCAACTCTTTTTGACACAGTGACTGTGTGTGTTCCTTCCATCTTCTTTTGATGCTTCCTGTGTCATTCAATGTTTTACCCTTAAAATCTGGAATAATGCAACTTGAAGCTGGAATTTTTTCTTCAGTTCTTTCAGCCTAAGGAGTGCAGAGCACGTTCCTCTCTTTTGGTTTTGTAACTCCAGGTCTTTGCACATTTCATTATGATACTTCACTTTATCTTCTCAAGCTGCCCTTTAAAACCTTCTGTTCAGCTCTTTTACTTTGTCATTTCTGCCATCGCTACAGCTACTCTACATTCATGAACGAGTTTAAGAGTCTCTTTGACATCCATTTTGGTCTTTTCTTTTTATCCTGTCTTTTTAATGACCTTTTATTGTCTTTATGT